ATGAGGGAAATTCAAATTAGGGGATGTTTAGGAATTAATCAATTGTCCTTTTACTTTAAACAATCTTCTTCTTGCTAGGTTTAGATTTTCATCTTGAATTTGAGCTGAAATTTGATATCTTGGTGTTGATTTTGGGCTCTAGACTCCGCCTAGAGATTTGAAGAGTTGAATCTTCCTCTCAAATTGAAAATTCATTGTATCGGGTTATTTCTTTCTTTCCACTACTGAATTTCTAGTGATTTCTCCCTATTTTTCCTACATTTTTGAACAAAAACTGCTGAATTACGACAGAATTTCTCTGAGCTGAGAAATTCAGCTCTGCTTGTCATTATTTTGTGTTGTTTCCTATCATTGTACTAATCTTCTTCTTGAAGCTATTATTGGTAGTTCCTATCATTGTACTAATCTTCTTCTTGAAGCTATTATTGGTAGAGAGGTAAGCCTATATGCTATGATTCATAGATATCTCGAAAGAAATTTAGTGGTTATGCTTAGATCTATTGGATAAATATCGATTAAATAATTTATTGAAGCCAAAAATTTGAAGTAGAGTGGAGTTGGTATGATTTCCTTGTAGCAAATCCCCTTATTTTTATGGGAACAATTACTGTGGCAAAATTGTAACTAATCTACAAGATTCCTTGGTTGTGGGATGAGTAGATTGTGGTTGCGACTACAACAAATGCCTTGGGCTCTTTTTTTCCAACCTTTTAGTTTTACATTACATCACCGACATAATTCCGATATGATTTCACTAATCTTCTTCTTGAAGCTATTAATGGTGATGGAATTATACTTATTATGATGGATATCAAATGAAATCCTATAGGATAGAAAGTCAAGCCTTTTTGTGATGATTCATAGATATCTCGATAGAAATTCAATAGTTATGCCTAAATCTATTTGAAGAATATCCATTAAATAATTTATCAAAGCCAAAATGTTTCAAGCAATGTTTAAAATTGCGTATTCGGGTATTGAGCCGTTTTTCATTCGTGAGGCGAGGCGTAAGCCTCAAGGCGTTTTGAGGCGTAAGCCTCAAAATCAAAAGATTGCGTAAACATAAAATGATAAATTTTTTATATACTAATGAGTGAATAATATAAAACATAAAAAAACATAAGATATGAAGTGAAATCAAAATATCTCAATAATAAGACAACATGAAATATAGTTCAACTCAAAATTCTATCTTTTCCAAATCTCAGTATTCTTTTCATTAACATATAATTCCAATTTTCAAAAATAAATAACGATGACATATCACATAAGAACTCATAAGTCATCAGCACTGTCATCACTAAGGGGTTATTCATTTGAATCATCATTATGATGAACAGCTCTCTCCCCTTCCTCCTCTCCTATAGAGTCCAATGTCGGGCATTTACTTCAAGATTTATGTAAGTTTTAATATATATAGCGTGAGGCGTAAGCCTCATGCCAGTGAGGCGAGGAAGGCCTCAACCAAGTTAAGGTGCAAGCCTCATAAAAAAAACTCAAGGCGTAAGCATCGAGACATTTTTTGCTGGAATTGCGCAAAGGCGGGCCTCAAGGTGAGCCTCATCTTGCGCAATTTTAAACCATGATTTCAAGCTAAGTGGAATTGATATGATTTTCTTGTAGACACTCCCGTTATTTCTATGTAGGCAATTAATGTAACAAGATTGTAACTAATCTATGAGATTCCTTGGTTGTGGGATGAGTGGAATTGTTGTTTAGGCTACTCCTAAGACTCTCATTCATTCAGTTACGTGTTTCCATCAGCTTCTCCTTAAGGTCGGTTCTTAGTGCTAGCATTTGCTTTTGCTTCTACAGCAACCAACATTTTTATGGGATTTTCATGGCTTCATTTAACGGGTTAAGTAACTTTATATAATAAACTATCAATAACTACCTTGGACTCTTTCTTTCTCACCTTTTAGTTGTACATTACATCATCCACAAAATCCCAAAACGGTTATACTAATATTCTTCTTGAAGCTATTATTGGTAGAGAGGTAAGCCTATATGCTATAATTCAAAAATATCTCCAAAGAAATTCAGTTGTTATTCTTAGATCTATTGGATAAATATAGATTAAATAATTTATTGAAGCCAAAATATTTGAAGTAGAGTGGAGTTGATATGATTTCATTGTTGCTAATCCCCTTATTTCTATGGGAACAATTGCTGTAGCAAAATTGCAACTAATCTAAGCAATTTCTTCGTTGTGGGATGAGTAGAATTGTGGTTGCGAGTGCAACAAATGCCTTGGGTTCTTTTTTGTCCACCTTTTAGTTTTATATTACATCATCGGCACAATTCTGATATGATTACATTAATCTTCTTCTTGAAGCTATTAATGGTGATGGAATTATACTAATTATGATGGATATCAAACGAAATCCTATATGATAGAAAGACAAGCCTTTTTGCGATGATTCATAAATATCTCGATAGAAATTCAATAGTTATGCCTAAATCTATTGGAAGAATATTGATTAAATAATTTATCAAATCCAAAATGTTTCAAGCTAAGTAGAATTGATATGATTTTCTTGTAGGCATTCCCCTTATTTCTTTGGGGGCAATTAATGTAGCAAGATTGTAACTAATCTATGAGATTCCTTGGTTAAGGGATGAGTGGAATAGTGGTTCAAGCTACTCCTAAGATTTTCTTTCATTCAATTACGTGTTTGCATCAGCTTCCCCTTATGGGTGGTTCTTATTGCTAGCATTTGCTTCTGCTTCTACAACAACCAACATTTTTATGGGATTTTCATGGCTTCATTTTACAGGCTAAGTAACTTTATATAATGAACTATCAACAACTACCTTGGACTCTTTTTTTCTCACCTTCTAGTTTTACCTTACATCATCCACACAATCCCAATATGTTTATACTAATCTTCTTCATGAAGCTATTATTGGTAGAGAGGTAAGCCTATATGCTATAATTCATATATATCTCGAAAGAAATTCAGTAGTTATGCTTAGATCTATTGGATAAATATCAACTAAATAATTTATTGAAGCCAAAATATTTCAAGCAGACTGGAGTTTATATGATTCCTTGTAGCTAATCCCCTTATTTCTATGGGAATAAGTACTGTAGCAAAATTGCAACTAATCTAAGCGATTTCTTGGTTGTGAGATGAGTAGAATTGGGGTGCCGCTATTCTTACGACTTTCTTTCCTTCAATTGAATAGGTGGTTTTTAAGACTAGCATTTCCTTTTGCTTCTACAGCCACAAGCATTTTTACAAGATTTCCCTAGCTTAATTGATTGCAATTCCGCAACTTTTTTATCTTATGGCTTTTATTTTACAACTTCTCTCGGTGTTTCTATTTCTATGCTATGTGATCCCACGTGAGGTGATTAAATGGGTTTACTTGAAGTATATAAAGACAATTCTATGGTTAATAAAAACATTTCTTTTGATTGCATAAATCCTACTCCTTGAATTCAATAATTTGATTAAGTGTGAGGCTTGAAATTTTTCGAAAGAAGCCATCTCCTTATGCACACATGAGGAATACTTTTGGGTGACTTTTTCCTCTTTCTTCCCTACTATCTCATTTTCCTTCTTCCAATCATTTTCGTATTAGTTGAAATCATGATTAAATTTTGTATGAATTATTATAAAATTTGCTTTATTTCACTTGCATGAACTTTCATTCATGTGCGTGGCTTTCATGCCACTAATATCTAGAATAAGGCCAACTCTCTTCTTATCCCTTGGACTTCAATATTTTCAATTTATATTGAAGATAGAAAATCGTTGTTTCAAGATTAATAGTTTATTTCAGTAAAGTATTGCATGTTGATAGGTTGGTTGCATCTAAGTCTACAATGCATAAAAATCTAGGGATAAGATTTTGATCCAAAGGAGCCAATCCAAAAATTATTGAAGAGATTGTAAGAACTCTGAGCAGTGAGATAGTGAGGATGCTAGTCATGGTCAAGAGATCATAAAAGTTAGGAGCTCAATTTAAGCATTACTTGTAAGAGAATGCATGTTATTTAACATAAATCCAGTACCAGCTTGATCATTCTAAAATGGGGAATGTGATCAAGAGATCAAGCAGAAAAAAAAAAAGAAAGAAAAAAATAGACATGCATTGGACATCAAAACTGAGGTCATCAAGGAGTTAGAATCAACGATTCGGATTGAGAAGGTTAGTGTGAAAGAAGAAAAGAGAATCATGAAGAATACGATAGAACAAAACCCAATGGCTTGGTTTTAGAAAGCATAGGGGAGGCATTGCCTACCCCTATACATACAAACATATATATATATATGTCTTTCATTTAAGAGAGAACAAAAAATGATTCAAGGTATGTTTCCAAAGTAAGATGGCCAATTCAATCTAAGAAAGATCTAGAGAAAGATCAAAGATCTTCAGGAATATATTTAGATCACATATTTAACAAGAATTCCAGACTTAAAATAAATATCTAGGAAATTATATCTGAAAGAAGGGGTTTGGTGGCAAGATCAAGTTGAAGAAGAAAAGACTTGATCCATTCTTAAAAAGCAACTCATCAATATCATCTCTAGTCAGTAAACCTAATGTTTCTTAAATAGAAAGAGAAGATTTTTCTTAAGAAAGAAAATAGAGAGAGAAAAACTATCTAGCAGGTGCGAAAAAGATTTACAGAGTCGCTGAGATTAAGTCGTCCAATCCATATGAGAGAGATGACACTTATGCATGAAACATCTTGCATCAAGAATAAGGAAAAAAGTTGGGAAGAATAATAGGTTGCTTCAAATTAGTCTTGCAAATATGCAGTTTGAAAGCTTCCAAAGGTTACAAGTTTTGGATGACAACCAAATTCCAATCTACTGGTACCGATTTGCACAAATAAGTACAATTATATCCCTTATGGAGAGACTCCGAACATTTACTCCAAACAAAATATTTGGGCCTAAACTCATAAGGAAACATGAGAACAAGGCTTAGTTCAAGTAGAATTAAAACAAACAAATTCAACAAAATGAGCAATTTTATCTACAAACCTTCTCCTTTGATTTTATTAGCTTCCCTGGAAACCTGGATAAGAAAAATAAACCAAATCAAAAGAAAGCCAAAGATCTATAAACAAGAAAATGTTTCATCCTAATTGGTGAATGCTGCATTTCCAAATCGATAATAACCTTAACAGATTTCTCAATCAAGAAAGATTTGCTTTCATTATGATCTTGTACCGGTTTGTCAGTATACTGATGACTCGTGCTGCAGAAAGGTCAAAGTTAGTATTGGCAAAAAGATAAGTTATCATTTTCTTTCTCTATTCATGAAATGGGATGCATAAACAATTTGCAGAACAAGTACACGAAATTTAAGCAACAAGGACAACCTATTGGAATCATCTGCCTCTACGCACTTCTTTGCATCATCAGGTGTGGATGAACTAGAATGCTTGTTTGTAACAGAGCTATGTGCATCTTTATCAGAAGCACATGTAGATAATATCTCCTCGTCCTGCAGCCAAAGCAAAAGAAAAAACTGGAATCAAACAGGAATAGATCTTTATTTGACACTGGAAAACTCTCATCGAATTCATGCGCATCCCCAATAAGACATGATTTGCCATAAAATTGTAGAAGTTGATCAATAATAGATATTTTATTTCTAGATTATGTTGTAAAAAGGAGTTAAATTAGAAAATTGTTCAAATCCACATCTACTACACTATGCTAATTACTCTATAAGTGTTCAGTTTATTGAAATGGTTTTAACCTGGGGACAATGTTTAACACGTTGCCCTCACTATGCCTCAAATAATACTTAATAGGAACAAATGGAAAATGAAAATTCATAATACAGCCCAAAGAGTTGGGGCAAGGATTATGATAATGATTATGACATTAAGCCCATTGAAGTCCCCTATAGGTAGGGTTCCTTAAGCACCAATATGAACTTATTTTTCTTGAAAGTTTTTTACATGCAACCGACATGCATTTAACATTAGAATTGATGAGTGAATCTATGAGAATGCGATTCACCTCCACCTCAATATCCATAATCTACTTACAAAATGTACAAGAAATAGTTTATTCCTTTCACTTAAGGTGTCCAATGGTGTTCCATTTAACGAAACCATAACAAAATATTTCCTACTAAGCACCAAAATATAAATTATTGTTACTAATATTTGTCTAGATGCTACCTGATAATACTAAGCATCAGGATCAATAAGAAGCAACATAAGAAAGGTGAAAAAAAAAAAGATGTCTAGTTACCCAAGGAAGTTACTACACTGTCTGAAAATCAAATAAGTAACAAGTCATCACAGTCCACTTAGTCAACCAAACACATTAAGAATTGTGTCAAGAATATGCTTGATGAGATACTCATTTCATTAAAAAAGAAAAGGTACTTGTAACCAATCGTAAGGCTTCGGTTTCTTTAGCTGCAGTATTTGTCATCCACAAGATATAAAACCCCAAGTTAAATAAAGAATTTGTTGAATACAGACTATCTATTAAAAAATCTAATGTGAAGTATTTAAATATCCGGAATGTCTTAATCAAAAAGAAACTGGACCATTTAACAGAAAAATGATTCTAGCAACGAATGACATACCACAGATGAATAAGGTGATGATGATTTGCCTTCATCATTCTTTTTCTCCCAAGAGATATTTGAATATGATCTGGGTATTTCAGAACTGATAGGCACACCAAATGTTTCAGTATTAAAAGAATTTGAGGACAAATCTTCATTTTCTTCTAATCTGCCATCATCAATTTGCCTATGTACAGCTGAGTATCTACTTTCCTCATCAATGTCAGGAAAGTGCATTCCTCTTTCCTGTAAATTATAACAGCACGTACAGGTGAGAAACTTCACGGTAAAGAAATATAACTAAGTGGAAATATCAGAGTAATTGTCAGTCACCTCAGCCAAATGAAGGTCGTGAGTTTCCTCCCCTTCAATTTCTCTAGCAATTCTAGAAGCCTCCCTTTCAATCTCTCTCATATGAGGGCCTCTCACAAGCTTTGTTGTGTAAAGTTCTTCATTGAAAGTGCTCTTCACACCAAATAGTGTTTCATTGGTTTGAAACTGATCCCAATTCCTTGATTGAATAATAAAATGTCAGTCAATTCACGAAAAAGAAACGATGCACTGAACTTTTTACAGTTTGACAATTATTTTGTCTGAGAACCAATTTTCTCAATGAATTTTCAGAAGTTTCCATATTGTTCCTCGTGTTCTTAAATTTGAGAAAAAATGGTCCATTTCCTCAAGTCTACAAACTTAAATAAACTGCCCAAACCCCATAACCAAGGGTTACCCAGTAACATTTTCCCATGTCTTCCACCAACTTCCCCTATTTCACATCTCAATTAGTAGGTGGGAATGTGATTGATGAATCTATCTGGCGGGTACAATTGCACCCCCTTAATTGAATAATTTTCATGTCATTATAAACCTCCTAGTGTTTGACCTCCCTAATATTTTCATTGGCACCCACATCCTACCCACTAAATTCCCTCAAGCTTCTAACATTGGGATTCAATATCATGAAAAAACAGAAGCCATGAGGCCCATGACTACTAAATATAAAAAAATTCTATCTATCCTCTATTTACAATGGGAAAAATGTTAAAGGCATTGTTAAGATTGATATAACTGAAAATATATAATGGCTTTCATCGTTTCTTCAATTGTAGGAGCTAATTGTCTCTATGACCCATACAGGAAGAAGAACAAAAAGAAAATTATTTGAAAAGAAAATATGACAGTGCTTTTAAAATTTTCTTAAAGAATTTTTTATTCAGAATTTGTTGATATGTCTAAGTTTTTAGTAGTTTGTTTAATCTCTAAAAAATACTTTAAGCATGGTAATTTTAAAATATAATTTTTTATTGCATGTTATAACTATGCATAGAATCATAGATACAAACAAAGGGATTAATAAAAATTCAGTTTTTTTTTTCTTTTCTAAGGTATTTTATTAAATATTTTTTTAGTTTGATGAATGATAAAATTGGTATAAAGTACCATTTTAAACTATTGAAATTTTATCAAATTTTTCTACATGTTACACGACTTTTATAAGAAACGTTGATTTTCTAAAATATCAAACATTTCAATTTTTATAAATTTTTTTGTCAATAATTATAGCCTCCTTTTTATAATTAGAAGTTTGAATAAATGATGAATCAGTGATTTTTTTAAAATGATTTCCACCTAATTATGGGTTTAGCTCTACAAAAATTGATAGGTGAACAATTGCCAACAAAAACCCTTCACCCCTCTCTTTCTCCCCCAACACTTAATCATCAAAACGAATGAATGTCAGTTAATGTTGATTATAGGTGATGGTCAAGTACCATAAAAAATAGCATACCAAAGCCTTTCTCCTCTATAGTATAAAAGTACTATAAAAAAAATGTATGTTACTGCATGTATCCGGCCATTGGTGTATTGGCATGATACAAAAATGGAAGGAATGAATAGTTACATTTATAAGGAATATAAAGGGTATTTTTTGTCAAGTAAGCGCCTTGGAAGCTTCACCTAAATCACATGCCTTGGCTTCAGGTAGAAATTAGCATATAAAGCCCAAAAATAATTAAAGTGCAATTATGACAAACATAAGGAACATATAATAAAGATGTTTTTGGGTACCCTCCACTGAACTATAACCTATGATGCACCGACACTCCGCTTAAAGAGGGTATGCAGTGTCGGAGACGGACACGCGTCCGACACGGCATGGACACGTGTCCGACACGGCATTGGAGTGTCGTAATTTAAAAAATTAAAATTAAAATCGGACACGCGTGTCCGGTTATTAAATGATAAAATCGTCCGTTTTATTTAGCCTTTTTCATGTGTCCGACACTCGGTACCCCTTGGTACATGCTCGGTACTGCTCAATATATGCTCGATACCGCTTGGTACATGCTCGGTACTGCTAGGTACATGCTCGGTACCGCTCGGTACTGCTAGGTACATGCTCGGTACTGCTATGTACATGCTTGGTACCACTCGGTATCTTCCCATACAAACAACTTACGAACTTTAATAACAACAGGTCGAACCCCGCCAGGGGCATCGCCCCCTTGGACCCCCGGCAGACAGGTATATTGTTGTATTCATGTTGTCTTATTATTGGGATATTTTGATTTCACTTCATATCAATTTAATTTGATGTATTCATATGTATGATTGGTTTAAAATGAGCTCTCCTGCTGGTTAGAGTGAATTAGGTGAATGTTCAAAAGAGCCATCTGTAAAAACTTATAAGCCTTAATGGATTCATGTTACAAAGTTAGAAAAAACCTTTGAAGAATGAGGGATTGTGTTATTCAAATGCAATTATTATGGTGGCACCTACAAAGGATCTTATTATAGGGTGAAGGCACATCTACTTAAAATTTTTAGCTATGGAATAAAAATGTGTACTAGACATTTTGTACTAAACATCTTTATGTTATAAGCTAAACAAGTTATCATGAAATTGATTTATTATTGCTTGTCGGTAATATCACCTTAATTTCTATAAATTATATTAAAAATTTATTATGCCGTGTCCACGCCGCACCCGTGTCCTATATTTTTAAAAATTGTCGTGTCCGTGTCGTGTCGTATCCGTGTCGCCGTGTTCGTGTCAGTGCATCGTAGACTATAACATAGGAAAAACAATGTGAATTCTAGATCCAATAATATTTGGATAAAAACGAAATATGTTAACATGTAGAAAGAACAAAATAAGACAGAAAAGACAAAAAAAAATAGCCAGGAAGCAAGAGCAAGACTTCAGAAATTAAATCGCAATAACATAGTCTAACCAATTTGGCCTTCGACAAATTTCTCTGAGCATTATGAGTTCTTCATTAAATGTCCTTTCATTTCTTAAAGTTATCCTTAGTTAAGCTTTATACATTTTCCATCTTTTCCTCATTCATTATTCTTATTTAGATCAGTTTTATGAATCTCTCTTCAGTTAAGTTAGTTGGAATAAGAATCTCAGATTAAATCTAGCTTTCTAAACCTTTCAAAGCATTCATAGTGCGTTAAGGTGAGGCCATCCTTGTTACCCTTAGGAATTATCAACCAAAAAAGAGTAGCATCACAATGAAATTAATCGCAACGGAGTTGTAAAAGGGCCTATCATAAGCCATAGAAGGGAAGGTAGGTTAAGCATGGTAAACATGCATAACTACAACCATTGACATTGGAGAAGTTTTTCAAAGTTGCCATAAAACATCAACCAAATAGCAATGTACAATGTTGAAAGAGTACAAACTCTTCGCATTAACATTTGAAAATATTCCCGAAGATCCTCAAAGCCAACTCTAAATGTGACATCTAAGCAAATTTTTAGAAATTTGCAAAGCCAAGTTTATAGCATGATATCCAAGTAATTTTTTAGAGATTGGTAAAGTGAAGTTCTCAATGTGACATCCAAACAAAGTTTTAGATATTTGCAAAGTCAAGTTCTTAATGTGACATGTTTTTGGAGTTCCACAAAGTCAAGTAATTTGCGGCAAATATAGTACACTCTAAGCGCACACCACATTTATTACAAATAAATTAAATTAAATTCATCAATAATAAAACCCAAGTCTCTCACCCATGCCTCGCACGATCCCCTCAGGCCACGCACTCTCCTTCAGTATCTCACTAATCGCATGCACATCAATTATTCTCCCGCATTTGCTCCTAACTAAACCCCCAAGCCACACTACACTTTCTCTCATTCTCCTCTCCCCAACTGCAAGCTCCCACCTCTCCTTTCATCTTCTCCTCTAACCACTCCTAGGCTAACTTACCACACACGAATGTAAACTAGTCCTCTACAAGCGAACTTGCACGCCCTAACTATTGGGCCCCAATTTGACACTCTCCAATCAATCATAAAGCATAATAGAAGATAATCTCTAAGACATATTTTTCACTAACCCGTCTCAATAGATTTATTTTAAATCAAGATCGAGTAAGATAAATTCTATCCAGATCATCACAAAAAAAAAAAAATCTTACCCTTCAATATAATCATCATAGTTATTGATATGAAAGCATGCATAATTTGAAACATTAAAATAAACTACAGAACTTCTCATAATTTCACAGAAAACTATACAAATCAGAAGTCTTTAATTTATATAATGTATAATCTTTTCTATAATACGTCCTAATACTGTACACCCATCCAAAAAACTAAGATATAGGATAACTAAATCACCAGCCTATGGTCCCACTAACTGCTTTTGCTTTCCAAAAAAATTAGTTATCATAAAATCTGATGAGTTAAACGTTCAGAGGGATAAATAATTCTGAAAAAAAAAAGTCAAACATATAAGAAAGAAATAATAATATGCATGCTGATCTTTTAAACTAACATGAGCATTTCTAATTATAGATATAGATAGCTTACTATAGTAATAAATAAATAAATAATGCTTTGATATTTAAATAAGTAAAAACTTAATTTTAAGCAAGGAGCGTGAGTATTTGTAAGAAAATAAAGTATATGACAAGTGTTAAATCATTAAATGCATTATATTTATCAATTAATTGCACCACTTTCATTTCCATTTTAATTATCACTCTTTAATTTCTTATAAATGTCATATAATAATATAGACTTTTGGCACATTTATTAGTAGTCCTTAACTGGCCCATCGACCCTAAAAATCATTGATATAGTTTGGGCAAGCCAACATAATAATTATTAATGGACTCTCAATCCCAAAGTTGTATTTTATAATATCAACTTTCTAATATTGAGAGTGGAGAATTTTTATTTTCCCTATTGAGGTACATTGCATCAAAACTTTTGCCCCGCCTTGTGTAGGGCATCATAGTTTGACAATTTATCTCATATATCATGACCTTTTCATTAGCTTATAATTTAATATCATGATCACCGCTATTTAAATTTACTTATAATGATATTCACCCATTATTAATCAATTCATTTAGCATGGGTCAATAATAAACATGATATGCAAAATTCTACATCTATGTACTTAAATAAATATTATATTTTATCAGCAATCTTATGAATTGAGTTTGTTAAAAAATAATTTGAATTTTTTTTAAAGTCTTTAGAGTTGCCACTCAAATATTTCAGATGGCTGGAAAATGAAAGAACAAGCACAAGACTAGAGGAATAAAAACCAACTATAAGACGGAATCATGTATGTTTGGGATAGCCCTCATCCTCATTAGATTTGGGAAAACCCCTTTTATATATATGCATAACATGAAAGTTTAGCCTAAATCAACTTTTTTGTTATGTATAATATGAAAATTATAAACTCCCTCCAAAATTTGGGCTAAATCATTTTCTCCCCCACCGCTGTTTCTTGGTTCCACCACTGCCAACAAAGGAATTACGAAGACATATCTTAAGCAAAAGAAACAAAACAAAGCTTCTCGATAGATAAGTCACCAACCTATTCCAGGTGCCATCAAATATGTTGTCTAGTTCAGGACATTCAGGATCATCCACATCAGGAGTCCAGCGCTCCAGTTCCCTCTCTACTTCAACATTATGAGAACGGGAAATGACAGAATCTATCATGAGGTCCTTTCGCTTTTCCCGTACATTAGCAGTTGAGAACTCATCAATAGCTAATGGCACATCCTGAAATCAACCAAAATTTTGTCCTGTCTTAACCATATAAAAATGAGATTTAAGGCCAACTTCAAAAAGTTGATAGCAGTACTACAATAAAAACTATTTTAACAAAATCATACTTCCGCATATCAAAATAAGGACAAGACAAGAGTATGACCCAAACAAGCGTAAATTAATGATAAAAACAAAGTGAACCTTAGCTATAATTTGAACAAGTTCTCGAGCCGGTATAATAATAGTTTGAGGCCTTTTATGTGCTTCTGGTGCACCCTTTTGTCCTTTCACAGCACCATCCTTAATAAGTTGAGCCATTTTTAGAATAATTCCTGCAAATACAGAATCAAGTCAACACAAACTGTGTACGATATTTCTAAAATGAGTTAAGTTACAAACGGAATTACGGAATTAAAGACCAAAAGCACGTTAAAAATAGTACTTCACTAAAATTTAATGTAGTATATACAACAGGATGTAATGTATACCAAAATCTTTGGCATTCACCGAATAAAAAATCCCAGAGAACGTCGATCCATTTTTCACATGAACTTCAACATGGAGACCAATAAGGCAGGATGAAACATAGATCAAACGATCAGATGAAGGACTGCTAGCAGGTACAATCTTGCCTCCATTCACTAATTATGAAAAATGATTATCAGCCACAACGGTAAGACCAATAGATAAGAATAACAATTTAAAATATACATGTACTTGCAAAATTGCTGGAACCCGACTTTCCAGTATGCATCTTATTCTCTATCCTTGCTCCGCCTTCTCTATCAAATCTACGTCGGTTGAAACCATTGGCAGAAGTTCTTGACTGAATACCTTGTTGCAAGCTCATTTTTTACCCTGTGATACTGAACAAATACAGGTCAATAGTAGGTTCAAGTGAACTATCAAGAATTTAAGAAATATAGAGGAAAACAACAAGCACAATAACTCAAAGACCTAGGAATTAACAGAACAATGAAATAACATATTATCAGAAAAAAAATGTATTGTTCTTTACACCAAACAAAAATTGCATAAAAATTCACTCACTGTGATGAATAACTTATTAAGTGATTATTATGCAATACTCCCTCTGCAATGATTACTTCACAATCACTAGAATAAAGAAATTATGGAGTGATTTTTATGCAATCCTCCCCCTGCAATGACTACCATGCAACAAAACTAGCTATGTGCTTCCATGGTAGAGACAAACATTTTTAGCCAAAAGGAAAGCTAAAACGCTGCTCATGTTGTACACTTTAAGTTACAAATTAAAATGGAGGAAAACGTTATTATAGTTTATGTATTCCTGAACATAAGAACTATGGACCGCTCAAACTCAGTATTCCATAATCAAATACAGTGACACTACCATTTGGAAACAATGGACCATAGAGTTAGCAGGTTAAATGATAAGCCATAGTTAAATTCAGACTATGCTAAAGAAGAGAGTATTCGGAGGCAATTTTTTTAAAAATAAAGTCCATAACATACATTTTAACACATTAATTTGCAGCTCAGGGCAAAAATATTAGTAAGGAAATTTCAACTTAAAAATAAGTAGCCATCTAATAATATAAGAAAGCATTAAGACGTAGAGTTCTACAAACATTTGATATACAATTACCTAGGAATAGTAGAAGCCAAAATAACTACATGAAATCATTATATTATTAGCATTGTCCCCACTATTTGAGTTTGGTTTTGAGAAATCACGCCCTTACAAGTATAAACACTTTGACAAACGGAAAAGCAAACAATTTTAATAATGATGAAGTTGCAAGGCTTTATCATAAAACTGAACTCCCCATTTTCTCAAGCAAATGTTGAAGTCTTTCTTTGCTTCATTCTATCCTAACCTACTAGTAAGTATAACTAGCTGAAAGAATAACTTTTTGCCTAATTTCCTTGATTATTGATATATCTTTAATTTACAACACCCACATCTACCCTCGGATGTCGGCACACACACCAGTTAACACCCCCTCAGCATGTCGACATGTGTGCATCCAATGTATTATCTTACAAACCATCAACAAATCTTCTGTCCCAATGCCATTCATTGCATCCTGTCAACTTTGCCTGTGCGATCGAAAGACAATGTTGGCCTCCTCAGCACATCTCGGCAAGTGAGAAAACCAATCTAGCCATATTTGTATATTCAATGCTTTTTGTCATCTCTTGTTGTTGATTTCAAGGAGGTTGCCTTTCTTTTATGTCACTCCTCGAAGCACACTTTCAATCCCTTGGCTTCACCCTATCATTGGCTTTCTTCTCTTCAAGATCTTTCTGTTTTCATGCAACATGAACGGAAATCAAGAAAATTCTCATTGTCACTTGCCTAATTTTTAGGCTTACAGGTTCCTCTCTCTCGTTCAACTCTTTGTGTAACCTTCTTGTAATGTTAGGAAATACAAACACCTTTTGACCCCTATATAAATACCAGATTTAAAGTTCCATTGATTCTGACTTCAAGTTCACATAAGCTTCCGGCAGGTTAATTCTACACTTCGAATCCTTAGCATCTTAGCCAATTTGACCTTTGACTCTCCCCTCCCGAAGTCTCCCAGCTCCCCAATTCTTTGTCATCCTCCCATGCTAATGTCTACATAGCCATCAACAAGCGCCCATCTTTGTTTATCCTACCCCTTTACAAGATTTGATGGTTCATTCCACTTCGACCACGTGTATGTTAGTATGTTGCTTGACTATCTTTTGTGTAGCCAAAAGTTCACACACCAAGCATCTTATTATTGCAGAAACTTTCACTGACACCAACTCCAAAGGCCATCAAAACTCTCCTTGCAGCATCTTGATTTTGTGCTTTTGCGATGCCACTATAATTTTCAAATCCTATAATCCAAGCCCTACAGGACATAATCTTCCCCGCCACCTTCCCTCTTTGCTCCTGGGTTATGCTTCTAACTATCCCAACATCTACTTCCCAGTCAGAAGTCTATGCACCAAGCAAGAATCTTATCACCCTCCGAACTTCCAACACTACCAAATCTAGCAGCTGCTAGTTCTCTCCTCCCAGCATCTTTGAACATGCGCTTACACAAGCCACTCAAAGTTTTTGAACCCTACAATCACCGTCCTGTTGAAGATAATCTTTCAACAAAATTCCTTTTTCCTTCAAGGTGTGCACTTCTAGAAATCTCCTTTTACTTTACCAGGTCATCCACCTAGCAGCCTATTACCCACCCTCCTACAAGGCAGTGTTACCCATATTATGGATCTATCCCCTATACTCCACATTGTAAGGGATTTTACATATGTAATAGGCATATAAGGATTCATCTATTTGTTGTAATATTATATGTTAGATTTAAAGGTTAAAAGTATCTTGATACATATAATAAGGCACATGCTTCTGTGCATTATGTATTTGTTTTTGAGACAATTGGGTAGAAGATTGAGAGGGGTAAGAATTTGAGTGTCCAAATGCAAATTTTCTTCTTCTAATTTCGCATCCTCTATTTACAGCATTCCTAGAATTACCTAGAGTATAGAGATTTACAACATTTCTCTATATATTACCTGATTGTATGGGCTCAAGCTTTTATTTCTTTTCTGGATGGCATGCAAAGGCTCTCTAGGAATGCTTCTGAAAGAAAAAAACTAAATATTTTGTTACACAGCCAAAAATTTCTATTAAAAATTTAAAAATGATCATCCATCGGCCCTTGGAATTGATGTATGGAAGCATTTAACAAACAAACCTTCAAGTTACTAACACTAGATTTAGTCTATAAAGTTTATTTGACACAAATATATATTGTGTAGCCTTGATCCCTTATAGTATGTAGGTTTATAATCAATGCATATTTACATTATATTGCATGTGCATTCTGATTGTCTACTTACAAGATGAGATTGTAAGACATTCTCCCTCCCTATAGGTCAGCTTATCTTGCATTGCAATGAGACTTGACTTCACGAAGTTTAATCAATTTGTTGAGTTAGAAGACATACCATGTCCAAAGGGTATAAGTCATGAAATTAGCCTGTGCTATCCATAAGAATTAAAAGGTATTCCAGTTAATGTTAGGTCCCTTCTACTTGTCCAGGGTGTTTCCATATAGTTCTTCAAGAAAACATAAATTGTCTTATTCTTGGGACAATTCCTTTAATCTCCCCTTCAAGTCTAATGTTGAATAGTTCTTCTTTATCATTGGGTAATTCTCTAATTGTGAATTTTAAGCTTCACACATCTACATCATCATGTAGATGTCATCCAATGAGCTGGTAAAACTCATTGCTTTACCCTATTGTGGGGGCATTGTGTGCTTAACTATCATTTGAGCCTATCTCTATTGACTAGGATTGTAGCTAAAATCCCCATTATGTTGAATCTAGGAGCACAAATAAATATATTTAAAAGAGAGTCTTCAAGAATGCATCGCCTGAGATATAATTACCTATGGAGCATGCTCCCATGGAAAATTAGTAACCATAATTTCTTTAAACTTGCTTTGGCATCTCATGCCACTAATAGTGAAATCTCTAAGAGAGTCCTCTCAATCTATCTTCATCGAATTTTATAATTGAGAAAAGGAAATGACCATTTTTCATCCTCTAAGGTGGTAAGATCCAACATCTTCTCCCCGAGTGCATAAGAAATTTTGAAAGCCCGCACACCAACAGAGTATATCCTTAGATCATAATAATTATATTTTTCAATTTTCACATTCTTTAATTATTCATTTCAAATGAGTTACATTATGCATGTCAAACATAATACGGCAACTATGACATTGAAATTGTCATGAAAGTATATTTATATTGCCAGCAAAAAATTATATATAATATTTGCAACTTCTAGTCTCCTATTACTAGAAAAAATTAATCTATTTGCTTCAAGAGTAATTGCAATTCATCTTTAAGCAGTCCACCTAAAATCTTTGTTAGGATAAAGAACCAAAATCAAGTAATGAACTTCCAATGCCCTATCTCTTACAAGTGACGCTCATCATCTGCTCTTCCCCTCTCAAAACTCCAAATCTCTCTCTCTCTCTCTCTCTCTCTCTCTCTCTCACTCTCTCCTCTCTCTCTCTCTCTCCCTCCCTCCCTTTTAAGTCTCACCTCTTTGTTGCCCACCAAATGCAACCTAATTCATGACTCCGATTGCACCCCTATCATAACAATCTACACACGCATGATACTAATAACATCAATAATAGTAGATATGATCTCTTAAAAACTCTCTCTCCATCTAGAACCTTGATGAAATTATACCACACCCCAACATGATAGCTATTGAGGTGAATATCGTAGCTAGCATAAGTTAAGTGGTACTCCACTATGGCTTCTGTTAAAGCATGCCTTACAGCTTTCCAATAAAACCCACCAAAATTATCAGAGATGATGTAGGTTTACATTATTGCCCTTCCAATTATCACTAACTCTCTATAATAATGTTATAAGCCTCGCCATCAAGTAAATAGCAACCCTTCGCCTTTCGCCAATGTTCATGACATTGAAAACAACCCATTTTCTGGCCTGTAACTTCCATCCACCCTAAGGTTGAGGATAATATGATAACATGGACCCATCATGCTAACCAATCAAAGATCACTAAATATAATGGATTAATCCCACTCCTATTTAAATAGCCCCCATTTCAGCTTTTATAAAAAGACTCAGACCTACACCCAATTAAGCTATGGCACAAAGAAAATTAAGAACTATTTTCATAAGCAGGTTCAAAAAAGAAATCGCATGAAAATTAAAAGAACAAAAAGCGAAAAGAAAGAAAAAAACTCCATAAAAAGAACCTAAAACAATGAAAAGCTAGAATGTGGGATCTTTGTCAAAATATGTAGGCTTGTAGCCAAAATTAACATAAATATGATCAGCATATGTTATCAAATAGTAATCATGTCTAGTTTTTAACAACATATATTGTCTAGTCAAATGGGCATGTACGACTAGAATAAATCAATGGTTGACTAAAAAGTTGTATCAGGTTCACCATCAATAAACTACTTTTCATTCCCATCTAATGCACAAATCTTTGAACTAAAAAGTTATAGAATTTTCCCTTAAGTTTGAGGGGCACTTTTCTATCACACAATAGGCCCAACGCATTCCTCCATTTCAACCATTAAACTTGAACTCTACTAATAATATCTCGATCTATTTCACCATTACTTTGAACAATAGACCCATGAAATCTCAAATGTATAATCTCATTAGTGACTTGATCGCCCAAAGTCACAATCCCCAATAAGATCTATTACTACAAAAATTACACTCCATGTATTCAGTTTTAGATCTACTCAACTGAAAACCATTAGACTCTAAGGTTAACCTCCATAATTCAAGTTTACTTTCAACTTCCTCTCTAGTCTTATCAACAAGAAGAATATCATCAATAAAAAACATATATCAGGGTACATCCTCTTGCAAATGTCTAGTAAGTACGTCCATGACTAAAGCAAAAATATATGGGTTTAAAGCTAATCCTTAATGTTATCCAACTGAAATAGGAAATACTTTGTCAAACCACCTCGTGTTTGAACACGTGTAACAACTCATGCATACATATCCTTAATCAGTTTAATATAAGCATTATTAACTCTTTTGTTTTCTAAAACTCTCTAGAGCACTTCCCATGGAACTTTATCATAAGCTTTCTTTAAATAAAATATATCATATGTAGATCCTCCTTATTCTCTCTATACTTCTCCATAAAAAACTCTTAATAAATGTATAGCTCCCATAGTAGACCCACCCGGCATGAATCCAAATTGATTTTAAGAAACATTAGTATCACGCCATAGCCTATGCTCAATAACTCTCTCTCATAGTTTTAAAGTATGATACATTAACTTAATTTCTTTATAATTCGCACGCTCTTGTGCATCATCTTCATTCTTAAAAATATCAAGTAACACACTCCTCCACTCATCTAATATCTTTTTAGTCTTCAAAATAATATTGAAAAGATACTCCTTCCTCTCTCAAGCATTTCCACACCTCTATTTTAATATCATCAGATCCAAGGGCTTTCCACACTTAATTTTTTTTAAAGCCTCTCTAACTTCGATTTTACTAATACGCCTCTCTAACTTCAATTTTCATTTAGGATACCAAGAAATTCCTTCCTCTCCCAAAAAATTGATAAATTAAAAAACTTTTCTGTAAAAAAATATATAACGCTTATGATCATTCCCTTAAGCCAAATGCAATATATCTATCCTTTGGAGGACCAAGCTATCATAATGATCCTAAGGTCCTACTTCAAATATAAATAATATCAACTTAGCTGATTAGGCAGATAAACAAAGGACCCAAGTTTGATCTTGCAATATCTTAGTTGCATTGCCTCAATAGGTGAATTGAAACAAGCATTACAATGAAAAGAAATCAAATCAACTAAATTAGATGAGTAAGCCATTTAGTCGCCTTGCCTACAAGGCGAGATTGTAAGTCCCATCATTTGTGCCCCTCCATACAATGCTTCAATTAGTTGACTATATTTTTATAATGGGAAATTTTACCAATAAAAGAAAATGGAATAGCAAGTCTGTAGAACTTTCCACATAAATAGGAGGCATAAAGAATCAAGGTAAAGGGGTTATAAAGGAAGAGGGATGATATTCTGCTCTACATAGTTCAAAATAAACATAGCTAGAAATTATCTCAAAAGTAATAGTCAAAAAATAAGTACAATGCAAAGGTAAATCTTCTATTGACCACTTATTATTTCAAGAAGCCTTATTCACTCATTCTACAGAAAGTAACCACTTAAGCAACACATTAATCACACTACCAGGAGCACTTGAATACAAATCTTTAAGGAATGAATGATGAACACGATTAAGATGAAGCAACTACAAATAGGAAAGATAAACACCTATGATGAGAAGGATTTTGATAATAATCCTTTTGATAATCTAATTAAAGAAGTTTCTTGTTGGAAAACCAAAGTAGTTTGTCGTTTATATACAGCAGATTTTGTCCTTTTCTATCATATATTACTCTCAAATTAGTGTTCATGAGATAAACTCACACTCTTGATCCTATAGATGGTGCTTTTAGTTGATGTCTTCAAAGATTTATTATGTAACTGTTACTAAGGATTGTACGTAGTCATATTTTCATATTTAGTTAACTTAAGGTTTCGTAAACAAATTTAGCTCCATGACGTGTTAAGTATAACAAGAAAAATAGGCCAAAAGGTTGCATCTGACAATCAACAAAATATCTCAGATTATAAGAAACAATTTAAATATCCAATTGCGCCAACCTATACATGGCATTGCGACCACAAAAGCGGTAACCTTGTAGGTTACTCCAACCTTATATTGATTATGTCATAAAGAAGCTGATGATTACAGGTTTGTAAATCTAAACTGCCCATCAACCAACAATTAAGCACATGCTTAGCGTGTCTCTAACATCTAAATACCTAAGGTTTAACTCAACATGATCTAATTCTTTAAAATCGTTGCACGGCAACATGAAAACCCTAATGATGGGCAACCCAGACATGCATGCTGCCTTATAGTTCATCAAAAACAAACTAAGCAACTAATTGAGCGAGAGAAAATGAAAAGCTGGGTATGGCAATAACTAATCCAAAACTACAAACATAAAGCATATGGAAATAGTTAAGGTTCCATCCGTTGTTAAAATGAAAAACATGGTCCTCATCTTGTATCGAGGAAGCAATCAATCAAATATGCCTAAATAAGCCCTATATCAGCACAAAGAAAGCATAAACATTAAGGGGCTGTTTGGTATCGGATTTATCGTGGGATTTAAGTCGGATTTACGCTAAATCCAGCCAAACGGTTTTTGTGCGCGCGTTAAATCCCGGATTTACTAAATCCTTCGGTTCGGTGGATTTAACGGGATTTAACATTAGAAGCGCGCGAAAGGGAGAAAGTTAACTTCTCAGCCAGTGAGCTCCTGTTCTTGCTTCCGATCAAAATGTCGTAACTTCCGATCCGACAAGAAGGGAAAGTCGTCGAAGGAGCGAAGTCGAACAGCCACGAAGGAACCGAAGTAGCGACGCGCGCAATCTGTACACCTCCTGCGAATCAACGAAGCCGAAGGAGCGAAGTCGAACAACCACGAAGGAACCGAAGTAGCGACGCGCGCAATCGGTACACCTCCTGCGAATCAACGAAGCCGAACAGCAACGACCAAAAGAAAAGATGAAATACAAACCCTAGACGGCTAAAGTTAAATCCCACTTGTTGCCAAACAGCCCCTAAATGTTCTTCTTTATAATATCTGTATAACTCCTAAGCCTTCCCAATATATCCAATTCCAAGTTGCTTTCGACCAAAAGAGAAATTTTAAAAATATGAGGCGGAACAGTACAAGAAGCGGAAGTAATTGATGACTGAAGGAGAAGGAGACGAATGCGAAGTTTTTTCATGAGGAGGAGATGGAGGAAGAGAGATATCACAGATGACTACCTGGCAGCCGCTAATATTGGAAGTTGCCAGAAAGAATGAGGGTTTCGCCAGAATCTCACCAGTCTCCCGGGGGTTCCTCGGGATCCCTCAGGGATGCGAACGCGATCGAAGATTCCCGGCAATCTCGCCAATTTGGAAGGTGATGAGTAACAAGATGTGGTTAGATCAAGCTTGCAGAAGGTTGAAGTGCCGCTAGAAAGGGCCACACCGTGTATCAGCTGCTGCCCTGGCAGGTTTCAATGTTGAGCCGATACCCGGTCCGATTTTGTATAAATTATTATTTTTAGGTGATTTGCATACATGCCATTTTATTTCATGTAATTTATATTTCTAACATTTTTTCCCTATATATATATATATATATATATATATATATATCATGAATAAAAATATAAACATTTATAGCCATGGTTGAAATGTACTCAATCTCATATATTTCATTTAATCACTCATACTATCCTATAAACTTTAATATTTCATTCCATGCATCCATATTTATTTTGTGGATGATAGGTATATAATATTAAATTTTTAAGTGTTAGATATGTAAATAGCATTAAATAAAGTGGTATGCCCTATTTTTTTTTTCTACAGGGTCGCTAGCTCTACCTTGGGACCCAATTAAATGTTAGCATGTGAAATGAACGTATGGACATTCAATTGGATTTTATTTTTTATTTTTATCTTGTTATTCCGACCGACCCAATCTGATCCGACCCAGAGATAAAAATTTTGAATTCGCGGGAATTCAAAAGCTTGGTCATTTTACTTTTCAACCCGGCATTTTTCTGCTCCTCATTGTCTCTCTCATTCGGTATTCCAAACTATTCACTACATTGTTTTGGCATTCCAATCAGTGGAAAAATTCATCTCCACATGCAAACAAGTGCAAGAACTTGTTGCGCTTTGCTACATATTCACATGTATCGATATTGTACCGAGTTTTTCTATTTTAAAAACTATGTTGTTTGTATTGGCTTTAAAATTTCTGAGTTGTTTTTATTCATTTTAACCTCGTTTTGACTGTGCTTTAAGTGTGCTTTCACTGTGCATTTGCTTTCATGGTATCAATTCGTATAATGATTCTTTGAGTTTTCAAAAGTAGGTTGCATGGTTTTAAAATATCTAAGTACAATTTTTAATGACTCATTTTATTGCTCTTTCACTGTGCATTTGTTAATGTGCTTTTGGTGCACTTTCATTGTGCTCACTGCGCTTTTCTATATATTCACTATGTATTTGAAACTTTCTGAAGCTTTGTTATTTCTTCCGCTGCACAATTATTGTGCTTTCACTATGCTTTTGCTATATTTTCACTAAGCTTTCTCAGTGTTTTCTTTATATTAATTATATTTTTGAAGCTTTCTAAAGCTTTTGTTATTTTTTCAATGCTCTATCATTGCGTTTTCACTGCGCTTTTCTTTATAATTGATACATCATCAAAAATCATCTTGATCGTGCACGAATCTCGAGGCAAAATCAAGTTGGAAACTTCCAAAATTAAAAGTGGGACCATTCGAACTCTGATTTCAGCAAACTTACAGTCAAAGTGAGAGTCTCGGAATTACGAACCCAATGACACCAAAATCAACTTAATCCGAGCCCAAATGAGTTCAAATAAAGGGCTCGAAATGCTATTGGAAGGTTCAAACCACGATTTGGATTACCAAACGGTTTCCAAACATAACATGCTTATAGTCGAATCGAGCGGCTTTACAAGACGAATCCAACGAGCCCAAGAAATTTGAATTCTGACATCACTAAGTCAGTCATATATACAGTAAGTGGTCTATGATCGAACTTTCTAACCCATGTCTCCTACCAACTTTTATCCTTCCGATCTCTGTCGACTAATACGGTCCTTCCGACCTCCATTGTCAGACGATGGTCTTTATGACCCTTTTCTTTTACTGACTACGGTCCTTCCGACCTTCATGCCTACTATGGTCATTCCGACCTCCATCACCAAATAACGATCTTTCTGACCCATTTCTCCTACCGACTACGGTCCTTCCATCCTTCATCGGATACTAGGGTCCTTCCGACCTCCATCACCATATAACGGTCTTTATGACCCATATTTACCTATTGATTATGGTCCTTCTAACCTCCATCGTTTACTACGATCCTTGCGACCTCCATCGCTAGACAACGATCTTTCTAACCCATTTCTCCTGCCAACTATGGTCTTTCCGATCTCCATCACCTACTACTATCCTTCGTCCGACCTCCATCACCAAACAATGGTCTTTCTAACAACTGCTACCACTGACTATGGTCCTTCCAACCTCCCTCGCCAAATAATGATCATTCTAATAATTATGTCATGCCGACTACGGTCCTTCTGACCACTGTCACCAGACTACGGACTTTCCGACCTTCGTCTCACGCCGACTATAGTTATGTTAACTAAATGAGCATTTCAATACTAATTCTTTCCATTCCCATCATGTAATATGATGTACATTTGCTACATCAACCTAAGGCCTTCCCCCTAGGGAAGGGTCTCATTTGTAATCAATTGCAAATAATAGTGGATTTATTCAAACTAGGCCAACCCCATGATTTTTCCCCCTTTTTAGTGGTTTTCACGTAAAAACCCTTGGGCCTCTTATGAACGCTACACCCTCTCTTTTATCTTCTTGTGTGTTGGATCTTCGTACAAAGCTAAGATATTAAATTTTATATTTCTCAACCGCCGTGAACATTCTACAATGCATCAATATTCATTATATTTTTTTATGTTTTCTAAAGCTTTTGTTTTTTTTCACTGTGTTATTACTGCACTTTCATTATGTTTTTTCTGCATTTTAATTGCGCATTCACTATGCTTTTCTTCATATTTGCTATGTTTTTGAAGCTTTCTGAAGATTTTATTATTTCTTTCACTACATTTTTGTTGTGCTTTCATTGTACTTTTGTTGTGCTATAATTGTCCATCTACAACTATGTGCTTTCATTGCTCTTTAACTGTACTTTCACTGCACTTCATTTTCTTGATATGGATTGTGAACTAATATTTATTCTTTATTTTGTTCATATAAAAATATATATATATTTAAGGACATAAAAGGATCCCTTGAGACCAATATAACAAAATAGAATATCCAAAGTGTTTGTGGAATTCTAAGCCATATGAGCAGTGTTGATAGCAAAATGTTCGTTTGCAAATATATGAAAAAAGTTATTCATCAAAGGAAAGTGGATTGAGCAGAACACAAAAATTGGCAAAATAAAATGCCAAAATTTAGAGTCGGATTCACATACGCTATGTTTCTTTGAACGAATAAATAAATATGTTTAATGTACATTTTGTATTAATAGTGATTCAGTTTATATTGTATTCCTTGATTAATTCTTTGATTATATTATATCTATTTGTAATTTTTAATAAATTAATAATGCTTTTTTTTAATATTGCATTACTTTTTTAATACTACATTTCTTTTTTAATACATCAAATGCACTGTGAAAGTGAATCAAAGGCGCAGGAAAGCGCATCAAACTGTGCAAACTAGTTTTAAAAAATTAAAGTTGACGATAGTCAAAACTATTGATTAATTGTCAAAGCGCAGCTAAAGTACAGTGAGTTACACATTATATTATAATTTTTTTAAAAAAAAATTCTTACAAATTTAATTCACTATGAAAATACTTATAGTAACATGATCTAAACTAATAAAATTTAATTACGATAGAGAGTTCAAAACTAAACACTTTAGTATTAAAAATTAAAATTGGCGGTAGTCGAAACCACTGATTATTGTCAAAGCACAGTGAAAGCACAACAAAAGCGCATCAAATTATACAATATAGTTTTGAAAATTAAAGTTAATGATAGTCGAAACCACTGATTAATTACCAAAATACAATGAAAGCATAACAAAAGTACAGTGAAAGCACAACTAAAGCTCAGTAAGTTACACATTATATTATAATTTTCTAAAAAAAAATTCTTACAAATTTAACTCATAGTGAAAACATTTATTGTAACATGATCTGAACTAATAAAATTTGATTACAATAGAGAGTTCGAAACTATGCTATTTAGTTTTAAAAATTAAAGTTGATGATAGTCAAAACCACTGATTAATTTTTAAAGTGTAGAGAAAATTTTTCATATAAATTTAATTGTTATTTTTTAGAAAATTTTCCTAGCAAATTTAATTGTAATTCCATTTGCATATTATTTGCATATTTATTATGTATTTGTTGTGTATTTACTACGTATTTACTATGAATTTGATTTGTATTATTGAATATGCATTTAGAACAGAACTTTTAAGGCTTTTTTTTAATAACTTTTGACAAAGTGAAAAAAAATCACAATTAGGAACATACAAATGAACACATACAAAAAATAAACGGAACTCCAAATTTTCCCTTACAACAAAAATTTTTGGCTCCGACATATTTCCTAAGTATACATAACTCTTTCAACATCAATTAATTCTTCCTTTTTATTGGTGTTTGCATACCACCTTTGAGATTCCTCATTTTGTAGGCATATCATTTACTCGAAGAATGAATATCCTCCTCCAAATCATTCTACATCATCATCGACTCTTCCTCATTTTTTTCTTTCTCAACAGATATCAAAAATTTATTGAGCTAAGATAATACATATTGAAGATCTTTCATAGTTATTTTTATTTAAAAAAGATGACCAACCTTAAAACATAAATTTGAACGGGATGCTTATGGGCCAAGTCGATCGGGCCGATAAGATAAAAATTAAAAATAAAATCCAATTTGAATATCCATGTCTTCGAACTAAGTGTCATGATTTAATTGGAGTCAGGAGATCGAGCTACGTCCATAATAATTTCTCCATATTTTGGAGAGATTATACATGTGAAGCCAGGATGGGAGAACCATTCGAATTTCCTGAGTATGTGCTGAGATTTTTAAATACTCAATAAATGAGGAAATACCCAACAAATAATTAGCAAATACTCACAAAATTTGTAAGTATACTCAAATACTCAATAAATAGTCAAAATTGAATATTTGTTGAATATTGCTGGATATTTAGAACTACTCAGCAAATCAGAATGGTTCTCCCATTCGGACTCCGCACGTAATAATTTCTTCTTTGGAGTAGGTTGTATGGTGCTGCTTTCAACGATGAAGATTGCTTACTGGGCTTAATCTCTAATAGATCCCATCCCGACTTGTGTGCTAATAAAGTCAGATCTAACTCTTGATCAATTCATTGCTGTCATGC